CTTTAATGTTCCTCTCTTATTTGGGAGCTACTGATTTGCTCTTCTGGTGTGGAGAGAAGTGTGGCTGTGAGGAGAGGACCCTGTCCTTGGGGAGCTCCCAGACCGGTGGGTCAGGAGAGGGGGACTGGGCCCCCTCGGTGGGAGAGGCTACTGGGTGGCCATGACTGGTTGGTAGCACTTTGTCAGGCAGCTCCCTGGAGGAGACAGGGCCTTGGGTGCCTGGTGGGCCTCTACGCCCTCCTGTCTGCCCTGCCATCTGTTTCCAGGAGGACACACGGGCTCAGCGGCAGCGGCTACAGAAGCACCTGGCTGAGCATCTGCGCCACACCTGGGGCCGGCCAGGGGCCCCTCCACAAGCCCGAGACCTGGGGGAGCTGCTGCAGGCCTGGGGTGCTGGAGCCAGGACTGGTGCTTCCAAGGGCTCCCGCTTCACACACTCAGAGAAGTTCACCTTCCATCCCGTGAGTGTGTCTCAATGGACACCGGCGTGCTGATGGAGCCGAGGCAGGCTCACAGGGTTGCTCTGTGTACAGACAGCACACTTTGTCCACACAGGTTTCTGTGTTCCCACTGGGCATGCCCTCTCCGCACTGGGGTGGATACCCAGAGGGGTCCCCTGGGTTCTCAGGGGCTTCAGTGGAGAGAGGGTGAAGGGCAGGAGACCATGTAAGGGTGTTGGAGTGCTCTTTGTGCAAACCCCAGCTTCCCCCAGACAGTCTCGTCTGGAGATATCTTCTGTCCTTTACCCAGAAGGGTGCTGATCCTTCTCATGGGAGGTGGGCGGGAGCTGTCAGGGTCAGGGAGGTTTCTTTATGAGCAAATGCTTCCAGCCTGTGGTCTCAGAGAGTGCCTGGGTCCTTATACACTCAGTCTGACAGCTGTCGGTGGTTGAGTGGACATGAGGATGGTGCAGGGAGGGCACTTGGAGGGGGTGCTAAGGCTGGGTTGGGAGGGGCAGGGCCTTTCCTCAACAGTCAGGATACTCCCTTCTCACTCCCCCAGGAGCCTGAGGCCCAGGCAGCCCAGGTGTCTGACATGCCGGCCACCTCCCAGCGGCCTGAACAGGTAAGCGGAGCAGTGGCGGGGGTTCTGGGCCCTTGCCTGCCTGCTGGGCCCGACACCCCCATCCAATTGGCCTGTGCCTCCCAGGACACACGGGCAGCTCAAGAGCAGGAGCTGGAGTCTCTTCGGGAACAACTGGAGGGAGTGAAGCATAACATTGAAGAGGTTGAAGCCAACATGAAGACCCTGGGAATCAGCCTCGTGCAGGTGGGAGGTGGGGTTGGGTCACAGTGGGGCCTAGAGGGACTTGAAGGGGCTGAGAGGACTCTGTAGGGGTCTGCAGATGTTAGAAGGGTTCACAGGCGACCTTGGGGACCTGTGGGCTCTTGATGATTCAGGAAAACCAGTGGGGGTGAGAGAGGGATGTAGGGTCGGGGGGTTGGACCTATGGGGTTGGGTCACCTGTGGGCATCAGTCAGGCCATGTGTGTGTCTATGAGAATCAGGAGGGGTGCGAGCATCTGTGGGCATCTGTGTGGGCATGACGGATCTGTGTGGGCAGGGGCTGGTGGGCCTTGTCAGGGTTCCTGGGGGCCATTGTGGACGTGGAGGGGTCAGAGGGGACTATGGGTGTCTCTCACCGCTTGTAGGTTTCTGTGGCAATCAGGACGGGCCAGGGGGCCAATAGAGGGTAAAGGGATGTGTTGTCATCTGTGGGGGCTCAGGCTAGGCTAGGGCTTTCCAGGCTCAGTGGGGGATGTGGTGTGTGGCTGGGCTCCTGCAATGATGGCAGTGGGGGTCACGGGTGCCAGGTGGAGACCGAGTGCCGGCAGAGCGAGCTGAGCACGGCGGAGCGTGAGCAGGCCCTGCGCTTGAAGAGCCGGGCTGTGGAGCTGCTGCCTGACGGTGCTGCCAACCTCGCCAAGCTGCAGGTGGGGCTGGTGCCATGGCTGGGTGGGAGGGTTGGAGTCGGAAGGGTCCAGCCTGTGTGACGGGTATCCCCTACCACCACCCCCACCTAGCTCGTGGTAGAGAGTAGTGCCCAGCGGGTGATCCACTTGGCGGGTCAGTGGGAAAAGCACCGGGTCCCTCTCCTGGCTGAGTACCGCCACCTCCGAAAGCTCCAGGACTGCAGAGAGGTAGGTTGTGGGGTCCTGGGCTGTATGTGGGGGGCAGGTTCAGTCCCTCCCTAGGGGGCCATCCCTGTGCTCTGCTCACTGTCCCTCTGCCCATGGGGTCCTGGCAGCTGGAATCTTCTCGGCGGCTGGCAGAGATCCAGGAGCTGCACCAGAGTGTACGGGCAGCTGCCGAAGAGGCCCGCAGGAAGGAGGAGGTCTATAAGCAGCTGGTAAGGCCTGCATGGTGAGCCCTGGGTGGTTTGGAGTGGGTGGGGGTGGGGGTCCCAGGGGAATGTCTGCTGTGTCCCCACCTAGGTATCAGAGCTGGAGACCCTGCCTCGAGACGTGTCCCGGCTGGCCTATACCCAGCGCATCTTGGAGATTGTGGGCAACATCCGAAAGCAGAAGGAAGAGATCACTAAGGTGCACCATCATGGCTGTGGAGGGTTGGGGCACACGGAGAGGCACGCCCAAGGGGCAGATGTGTGTAGCATGGCCACATGGACACCCCACTCCCTCCGAAAGGCAGAGCTGTGTAGCCATACCCCAACACAGAGCGGTCCTACCCAGTCCACTCCAGCCACGCCCGATGCAGTGACTCACACCCTGTCTGGATGTGAGAGCATGCGCACAAATGCCCTCAGCTGGCCGGCTAGTCTGTGCCAGACATGGGCTTATTGGCTACACTGTTCTCCACCAGATCTTATCGGACACAAAGGAACTTCAGAAGGAAATCAACTCCTTGTCTGGGAAGCTGGACCGGACATTTGCAGTGACTGATGAGCTTGTTTTCAAGGTGTGGGACAGGCTGGGCCAGGTGGAGGGGTGGGGGGCGGTGCTAGGCTACTGCCTGCCTGTCTGCTCACAGGTTGGCTTGGGTCTAGGCCCTGTGTGAGCCTTGTAGGTGCACTGCTGCTTGGGCCTGGCTGTGTGCCATGGAGGATGAAGTCAGGGGAGTGGGAGAGGGTGGCCTTGTGCGGTCCTGGAGGTGGTAGATGTGGGGAGCGTGGGGGAGGCCCACTGATCCCTTCTGTCTGGTCAGGATGCCAAGAAGGATGATGCCGTTCGGAAGGCATACAAGTATCTAGCTGCTTTGCATGAGGTGAGTGGAGAAGCGTGCCTGGGGCTGCCTGGGGTGGGGCATGGTTGGGGTGCAAGCCTTCTGCTCCTGCCATCCCCAGAACTGCAGCCAGCTCATCCAGACCATCGAGGACACAGGCACAATCATGCGGGAGGTTCGAGACCTTGAGGAGCAGGTAAGGCTTGGGGTAGGAGGGGAAACCAAGACAGGCCAGTGGACAGCAGCTTGGTTAACATCACGAGAGGCTGTGGGACTGGACACAGCCTGTGGCTGGACTCTCAGCCATGCCCCTTAGTAGCTGTGTGTGTGTAAGCTGGCATAGGCCAGTGGCCTTCTCTGAGCCTCAGTTTCCACCCCAGAGGTCTTCACACCTGCCTCCCAGGGCTTCAGCTTGAGTATGCGGTGGCTAATCCTGCCATATAGCAAATGATGCTTTAGGTGAACAGATGACACGTGCAGAGGCCTGTCGGTGGGACACAGCAGGCTGTTGTTGGAGGAGGGTGGGGGGAGCACGGGAGGGGCCTTGAGTGGCCTCCATGGAGGCAGGGTGGCGAACAGGAGCTGGAAAGGGGGCCCGGCCCACTGAAGGGATGCGATTCGCGTTGCCTTAGATCGAGACGGAGATGGGAAAGAAGACCCTCAGCAACCTGGAGAAGATCCGCGAGGACTACCGAGCCCTTCGCCAGGAGAACGCTGGCCTCCTGGGGCGGGTCCGTGAGGCCTGAGGAGCCCCCAGCATAGGTCTCCTCCTGGCCTTAGGCAGGGATTTGGGATGTTGGGGGCCATGGCCAAGCGCTTGCCCTAGCCATTCCCTCTGTTGGCTGTGCAATTCCTCCTGCTATGGCCTTAGCTCCAGACCCCTGCCCACCTGACCCCAACCCTTATCTGGGATGATCATCCAGAGTGTGGGAATTTGGCTACAGTTTATTGGGGTTAGGGCCTTGGATCCTGAATAAATGAGGGGCTCTGACTGCAGTCTAAGCTGAGGCATGGATGGGGACGTAAGGCACAGAATGGGGGAGGTGGGGTGGGTGACAGGAGAGGCATGGGGTATATTTGGTGATTCAGTGTGTGTGTGGCTGTGAAAGCCCATGTGGGACTCAGGAAATCCACTGTGGCGCTGTGTGGGTGTGCGCACACGTGAGATGCACAGGTGTGTTCTGATGGGCTGTGTGACCAAGAGGATTTGTTCCGAGCTGCCGGAGGATGTGTGTGACTGGTATGTGTCTGTGTGGTTCTTTGGGTCCTGAGATCCTGAAGCTACCAAGGCTGCTTGGGCACACCCCGTGTGGCCCTGTACCTGTGGGCCTGGAGGATGGTTGTGGGTGTGTGCTTTGGGGTATGTGGGCTGACAGAACTGTGCTCAGGTGCGATCGTCTGCGTGATTGCAGATTTGAGGTTGCCTGGGTGTGCTGTGGCAGGCTCTTTGTGTTTTGGTGCTTGTATTGCATCCGAGGGACAGGACTGTGACTGTCTGTGTGTCTTTTTGAGCCCCCAGGGTCATCTGGGAGAGTGACTGAGGCAGGCCATGTGTGTGGTTGGTTGCAAAGGCTCAGTTTGGCTAAAGAGCTTGTAGGAAGCCAGGCCTCTGTGAGCAGCCTTGGTGCAGAGCATATGATCTAGGAGGGTAGTCAGCTGAGGATCAGGGTCCCTGGCAGGCAAGACTGCGCACCCCTCACTTCTTGGTCCCTGTGGGTACATCTGGGGCCTGCCACCCCTGCCCCAGGCCACTTCCACCACCCCCACCCCGTCCCCCGTTTCGGCCCCTGTCCTTCCTTCCTCCTTTCCTTGGTCTTGAGATTAGGGGCCAGGTGTGGGGTTGGAACACCTGCTGGGCCTCTGGCTCCTCTTCTTGCGGAACTCGAATTCATCCACGGTCCACACGGCCCCCTTCTCACTCTCCACCCGCACAAAGCATTTGTGTAGGCTCAGGTTGTGGCGGATGGCATTCTGTGGAAGGAAGGCCGGCCAGGCCAGGGGCAGGGGAGATGGGTAGGCAACCATCCTCCAAGGTCAGCACTACTCACCAAAAACCGGCCTCCTGCCCCTTTCCAGCATGCCTGCAAGCCCAGCCTCAGGCCCTCCCACTCCTGAACTTGGTGCAGCACCACGGTGGCATTTGAGGCCCTCCCAGCCACCGCCACCCCAAAGGACCTCACCTTCCAGGTGGCGGGGTGGTTTCTGAAGAAGGCAAACATGCGTGTGAACCAGTGGTAGATCTCGTTGAGGGTCCGCTGCTTTTCGGGAGCCTCCAGGATGGCCTGGGGGTAAGGGGGTGTGGGGGTAAGGGAGCCACTCCCTCATAGTTGGGCTGAGGGTGGCAGTGTCTGACATGGGTAGAACTGTGGGAGCTTGATTTGTTTGGATTTAGAAATGGGTTTAAGGGTCAGAGATGATGGCTGCAGTGAGGTTCTGGGTCAGGATGTCAGGATGGGGCTAGGGATAGGTAGGGGAATGTGTGATGTTGTGTAGGGATTAGGTGTGGGCCTAGGATGAAGGTCTACGCAGGCCCTGATGAAAGTTCTGGGAAGGCATTAGGGAGATTCAGATGAAGGGGTTGGGATGGGGTGAGGACAAGGGTCAGACAGGTGTCACAAGGAAGTGGTTAGAGGCAGGGTCCAGCTGGGGGATATGTGGGCACATTGGGATATGTGAGGACTAGGGAAGGAGTTAGGATAATATCTGGGGTGGGTTTAGGGCCAGGGGCAAAGATCAGGTTGGTTTGGGGGCTATTTTACAGGTCCAGGAGGGGGTTAAGTATGGGGTTGAGATGGGCATAAGGGAAGGGGTGGGTCAAGGGCCTGAATCTGGCCTGGGTAGTGTGGTTAGGTTTGGGCTTGGGGCAGGTCTGGGGTGAAGCCAGCGTGGGGGTTGCATCTGAGACATGGGTTTGTTCGTGCAGGAGCCTGTACTAGGGGCACTCAAGAGGAAGGCTGGGACTGTGGGAGGCTTGTCCCCACCCCGTTTCTTTTCCTTCTCCATGGTCTGTGCTGCCTGCTTACCCAGCGGATGAGGGTGGCGTAGGTGAAGGGTGGCCGCATGTCGTGGAACTTGAAGTAATCCATGTTGTGGAAGAACTCTGTAGGAATGGGGGAGAGTCAGGTCCCATTCCGGGGCTCCTCGCCCCCTCTCCCATCCTCCAGTCTACAAGCAGAGTCTACGCAGCTAAAATCCTAAAATCCCTTGCTAACAGCACCAGGCTTCACCATCACAGTTCTTGTGCTGAGCACCGGACATCAAATGTATCATTTACTGTTTGTACCACTCCCACCTCAATGGGCCTTATTGTTTCCAAAGTTTAAAGGAAGTGGAGTATGCACACAAAGGGATGTAACTGGCCACGTGGCAGAGCCAGGATGACACTCAAGGGCCCTTATCCCTGATAAGCTCCTGGCCCCGGACCTTGTGGGTAGTAGGGGATTCGTGAGCTTGGGAGAAGGGAAAAGGAGAGTCCCTGGGAGTTGCTTAGCTAGTTCCCTCCCTTCTGATGACCAAATGGAGTAGCTGAAGCCCAGAATGAGGGCTTCTCTCCCAGTCCCCAGGAGAGATGGGGCTAGAAATTAGAAACCATAGTGGAGGGCTTGCAGGCCTTGGAAATGCTGAGAGACAGCTTTTGTAAGCAGTTGTGTTTTCCCAAAGGCTGGGTGGCAGTGCTGGGGAAGAGCACTATTGGGGCTCCTGTCTCCCACCCAGTGCCAGTCAGGGGCATTAGGGGTTCAAGGGGCACTAAGTATGGCATGGGACATCCTTGCCTGGGAATGTGCTATTTCCATGGCTGCCCCAGAGGTGCCTCCGCACAGCAAACAGGCCGTCAGGGGCCTCCTGGGGGCTGGGCCAGGCTGGGCCAGTGGCGGCTGGGGTGCCAGTGGCCACGATGCAGCAGGAGCCCTTGTCGGATGACGCCTGCAGGAGGAGGGAGAGGCTGGTGATTCAGAGCCTTAAACTTTCCACTTGAATTTTAAATAAGTGTTTTTTAAAAGCAAGGGAGCTCTCTTCTCAATTCGTCTGGTGTGGAATCCCATGAAGCAGTGTGAGCTGTATTTATTAGAGTGTGCGTGTGGACCCGTGTGTGTGTGTGTGTGTGTGTGTGTGTAGAACACCAAAGCTGGGGCCTCGAGCTGGGGTTGAATCAGGCTTCTCTTCTCCCCAGCTGTGACCTGTGACCTTAGGGATGATGGTAATACCTATTGAGGATTAAATCAATATGCTCTAGCAACGTTCTCAGAAACGGTGCCTGGCACCCGGGGCCTGCTTCATGGGTGTGTGACCTGTTTAATCACATAGATCCCTGCACTTTGTTTACTCCTCTGTGGTTATCATCTTGAAATCTGAGCCCCGTGTTGTTATCTTGCACTGGACCCTGCGAGTTACATAGCCAATCCTGCCAGTATCACGGGGTCTGTATTCAGTCGGTGTCTGGCTATTTGCTGTTGCTTTGAAAACTCAAGAGCATGATGTTTTGGGATCTTAGGGTCAGAGGCTTTGTAGTTGGAGGGGACAGATTTCCAGGTCTGGGAATGTTTGGAGCTGGGGACAGGGGCCCAGATGTCCTGGGGCCTGGGTGCAAGGACAAGTCTCCATCCCCCCCCCCCCCCCCCCCCCCCCCCCCCCCCCCCCCCCCCCCCCCAAGCAGTCTGTGCCGCCTACGGGCCTGGCGTGGCTCACCGTGGATGGAGCTTTGGTCAGAGCCATCTTCCCAGCCAGGTGGGCCTGCATAGCACCCAGCTTCTCCTTCTCCAGCACCAGCTGTGAGGATGGGCACAAAGTGAGGCCTCACCTTGGCCATTCTCCACCACATCTTTTTGCTCAGGTTCCCTGGGAGTGCTCCACCCCCTCCCTTTATGCCAGCCCCCATCCTGGGTGAACTTGGCTCCTGGCACAGGGTGGACATAAGGCTTGCCCATCATCGCCCAACCACCCCTCCCCTACATCACCTGCTGTTCCAAAGACTGCACCACTTCCCTCTGGAGGAGACACTGTGCCCTGCCCTTCTCATCCAGGAGATGGTCCGCCTGGCAGTGCCTGGGTCGGGAGGAGATTCCATGTGGGTGACCATGGTGGACCTGGCTTCCTGGCTCAAATATTCCAAGTGAGGAGGGCCAGACACTCTGGGAGTTCTCTCTTCGGAGTCTCAGCCTCCCTCCCCTCTCTATACCTCAGTCTTCCTCTTATACCTGCTATTCTTTCAACACATGCTACTTGGCACCTCCTGGTACCAGGCCTGAGCTCACCAGCTGAGCCTGGCCAGGGTGCTGGAGATGATGTTGGAAGGCTGCTAAACTGAGAGCAGGCCAGGTAGGTGAGGGCAGGAGGGGCACCCCAGGTGGAGGGGACAGCCTGTGTAAAGGCCTGGTCGTGAAGAAGACAGGGTGCAGAGTCGCCACTGATAGTTGGGTTTGGTTGGAGAAGGGGTATGTGCGTGTGTGATGGGGCTGAGGGAGGCAGCAACAGCCACCGTGAGAATCTAGGACTTTAGGGATCAATAAAATCAGGCTGGTGTGTTGGTATCAGGGGTAGCAGGGCAAAGCAGTTAGGAGTGTGGTTTCTGGAGCCTGGAACCTTCTGCCTGGGTTCAAACCACAGCTCTGTCACTTAGGAACTGGGTGATCTTGATCAAGACACTTAACTTTTTTTGGCCTCAGTTTCTGTATCTGTAAAATGGAGGTAAATAATAGTATGTACCTCTATTATGATGCCCCATTACACAGATGAGGAAACCAAGGCCCAGAGAAGCTAAGTAACTTGCCCAAGGTCACACAGCCAGTGAGTGATAGAGCTGGGATTTGAACCTACAGTCTCAGCCTTTGCCTTTTGCCTCTTCGCTACCTATGAGGCCTGAGCTGAGACCTGTACCACAGGCCTCCTCCTACAAACTGGGGGCCCTCCCGGACAGGATAGGGCCTGGGTCACTCACTTGAGGAAATCCTCTGGCTCCTCGAAGACCTTCTCACATCCAGGCCACTTGCAGACACCATTTGCCAGCAGTGAATAGGAGCCCTGGGGCACGGTTGAAAGGGTGCTGGGGGAACAGAGGGTGTTCAGGGGAGGGAATGCCAGGGCAGGGGTCCTTCCCAGCCTTGTCCACTGACCTGTCTTTCCGGGGTGTGCTGGGGCTTGGGAAGGTGCAGAGCAGTGCCGGCTCCCTGGACACCCATTCCAGGCTGGCCACGTTGATTCCTGTAGGTCAGGACAGGGCACCTTTGGGGACTGAGAGCTCAGCCCACAGAGACTCTCATTTTGAGCTTCCCACCCTCCTGAGCTTCGCAGGCCCTGACTCCCAATGGGTTCTGTTGTCCCTCACGTCCAAGGCTTCTGGTGGAGCCGCTCAAAGACTGCCATTTGCAAGTGCTGACATTTTGACTATGCAAAGATCTGCAGTTCCATGATTCTGACATTCTGCGTCTTTAAGGTTCTGAGCCTGACATTTTTTTGGAGGTTGGAGTTTCCAATATGATAAGGCCTGATACCTCTGCCCTCCTGAGGGCTACCATTCAGCAGCCTACACTGCTCACGTTCAAGGACTTGGGGGCTCGGGTTCTGTAGAGCCGTGGGGTGGGGTGTTACCAGGTGGCAGGCCGGGCCGGGCCTTGAGGGAGAAGACACCAGTGGCAGCAGTGGGTGGTGGGAGGCTGATCATAGCTGGGCTGTCCAGTGGGCGCACCTGCAGCACAGGGGTCCGAGCGTGGGTATCCACCGTTGAGAGCTGGGGGCACATATGGGCTGTGGTTTAGCCTGCCCCCACCCAGTTCTCCTCCCTGCTCCCTCCTCCCTGCCCAGTCCGGGTCAGTACCTGGTGCATGAAGTGTGGCCTGTCCTGGAGGAGTGCCTGCAAGTGGGGCGAGGGGCCCAGCCGTGTCCCAGAGGGTGCCACCATGACTAGGGGCACTGTAGGCAGCTGGGGGGGGGGGGAGAAGGCAGGCAGGTGAGATGTCATCCTTCTTCTCATTGGCCTACATGTCTAATTCACACGCTCCTCACCACAAGCCTACATGGCAGGGACTCTGACCATCCCCTTTGCACATACGAGGAAACTGAGGCTCAGGGAGAGTGAATGACTTTTTCAAGATCAAGCAGCTAATAAGTGGCAGAGCTGGCCTCAATCCTATCGCCTCAACTCTTTGGGCTCCAGCCCTCCCCTCTGTCGCATGGGGATGGGGTCACATGGCCATGCCTGTGGGATCCACCATGATAGGATCTCCTCTCCTGAGACAAGGATTGGGAGGTTGGGGAGAGCCTCGAATCTCTGAGACCTGCTAACTGGGGACTTTCTTGGCCCTGTGACATCTGCATAAGTCACAGACTTGCCTGGGACCCAGAAAACCACTTCCTGTGCCCCAGCTGGGCCCCCCGCCCAGTGCCACAGTAAAGGTCGGCACCTGTAGCCCCAGGTACCCCACCCTGCCTGCCCCATTCTGGGCCCTGGGCCTCACCTGCAGCTGTGATGGTGGCATGGGGTTCAAAGAGGAGGAGGCATGGGCCCCGCCTCGGAGGTCCCGGCCCTGGAAGGTTGCCCCTGGGCCCTTGGCCCCCAGTGGGTCTGAAGTCTTGGGTCCAGCCCTCCAGCTGGGTGAGGCTCCTGGGGATGGGCCAAGTGCCAAGGAAGGGGCCGAGGGCTTGGCTGGCCTGGGGTTGGGCATTGGGTCCTTGTCCGAGGGCAGGCTGTGGGGACATATGGGGAAGGAGTTACACATGTCCCTTGTGGGGTGTGTGTGTGTGAACTGCTCAACCACCTGAACCATGTGGGCACCTCTGTTGGTCAGAGCAGGCATTGGCTGGGGCATGTCCCCAAAGGCTCCCCAGCTGAACCCCAGCACCGGTCACGTGTACATGTGGCACACACCACACACACATTGGTGTCAGGAATACAGGTATGTGTGTGTCTCCACACATGCCCCGTGTGCAGATGTGCACTGGTCCAGCACTCGGCTTGCCTGTGCATGCTGGCACAGCCCTGGTGGCGATATGTCCTCCACAAGGGAGATGGGGGATTTGGGGTGGTTTGTGGGGCCTCAGCCAGGGCAGGTCTCAGCTTTTTTCCGCAACCATTTGAGGCTTGTCTCCAGGCCTCAGCCACCTGGGCCTCTCTGCACTCTGCACAGGCCACGTGACCTTTGCTGATCCTGCTGGGACTGGTCCATGACTCTCCTGGTGGCATTATTTTATCCCAGTGACCTGGCATACACAAGAGTGGAGGGGGGCATGGACTCAAGATCCCTCTGGCTGCTGTGAGAGGGACAGACTCTAGGAAGGTGAAAACAGGAGTACTGGTGAGGAGGCTCCTGTGATAATCCAAGCAAGTGACAGCTGGGGCACAGACCAGGGTGGTGGCAGTGGAGATGGTAAGAAGTAGGTGGATTTTGAGTGTTTTGAAGGTGGAGTCAGGAGAATTTGCTGGCAGCTTGGATGTGGTGGGGGGTGGTGAGAAAGGGAGGGTCAAGGTGACCTCCAGGTATTTGCCTGAGCAGCTGGAAGGACAGAGTGGACATCACCTGAGATAGGGACAATGGGGACAGCAAGGTTGGGGGTGAGGACACCAGGTGTGGATAGACACAAAGGGTCTGGTGTTAGACATGCCAGTGGAAATACTGAGCGGCAGCTGAGTACAGGAGTCTGGGGCCCAGGCAGGGGCGGGGTCTGATCATCCCTGGGCTCTTGCCCCAAACGGAGCTGACATGGCAGGTGCCAGAGAGACCGGCTCTCTTGAGCCAAGGCCTGTGGGAGCATCTTGACTCAGCCCCCACCAGAGTTTATCCCAACTCTGCTGTCCAAGCCTGCACTCGTGCTATATGCCCTGCCTGGAAATCCTGCTCTTCCTCCGTATGCCCTATCTGAACCCTATCCAGAAAGTCCTCCATAATGGCTCCAGGCACCTTTGCTGAGCCCCAGAACCTTACACTCTGCAACAGGCAGGGCTTCAGTTTCTCGGAATCCCAGTCTAAGAGGAAGCCAGAGCTGGAAGGGACTGCCTAGTCCAGCCTCCGTTTTACTGAAGGGGACACCCAGGTGCAGCGTTTCACAGTCCCATGGCAACTTGAGAGCTCCATATATTTCTCCAGAAAGTGTGCATGTGTGCACATTTCACAAGGCCCCTGATGTGGGGCTGTGTGTGTGTGTGTGTGTGTGTGAGAGAGAGAGAGAGAGAGAGAGAGAGAGAGAATCCCCACCCCGCAGCACTGGGTTAGGCACACAGCTGCCGATAGTAGCCTAGGCCAGCACAAGGAGGGTTTAGGGGAACAGTCGCTCCTTCCTTTCTTTACTGTGAGCTCACAGGGGTTGACAGAGCTCTAGTGCAGAGGGAGGTTGGAAGTGAGAAACCAGGTACTAAATTCTTAGGCTCTCGGGGTTAGAACATTACTGAGTGAGAATCAAGAGCCTGGGTCTACGGAGGCTCAGAACTCAGTGACCATGAGGAGGTGAACAAATGCATGAGGGCAGAGATTGAGGTGATGCTTCTAGAAGCCAAGGCATGTCAAAGACTGCCAAGAATCCACCAGTAGCTAGGAGAGCGGCATGGACAGATTCTCCCTCGCAGTGTCAGAAGGAACCAACCCTACCTGCACCTTGATCTCGGACTCCTGGCCTCCAGAACTGTGAGACAATAAATTTCTGTTGTTTAAGCCCCCTGGTTTGTGGTAATTTGTTACAGAAAACTGAGTAAACGAATACCGATTTTTGGTCAGTTTATAGATGGTTTCTACCACTCTGGCCTGGCCCACATCGCTGGCCTGTGGTCACTTCTGAAGCTGCCTGGACACTTGGCTGGGGCTTATAAGAAATCTCCTCCCCAAACACATCTGGAATGGCCAGACTCAGGGAAGCATCAATACATTCTCAGAAAGGGGACATAGATAGGGTCTGTCTGGTGGTGGGGAACCTGGAGGGCCGGGCTGGGCAGCCGGCTTCCTGCATCGTCTGTTGGGGCGTCCCTTTCTGACTGTTTCTCAGAAGCTGCATGGAGGATGTTTCTGGGACACAGAGTGTGTTTTCATATCGGGGTCTGCATCTGGGCCCTGTTGTCACTTCCCCAGATTTTCCGCCATTGACGTCATGGCGGCCGGATGCACTGGGCTTCATCGGCACCAAGGAGGAAGAGAAGGGGGCAGATACCCCACCCCACGGGTTTCGTTCCGAGAATTGGCTGGCCCATCCTGCAGCTGGCTTGGCCCAGGTGGGGGTGATGTGGGTGCTTGCGGATGTGGTGAGTGACGTCCATCTGGCCACCATGACAAGCCCTGGGCCCTGTAGACCTGGCCCTTCTTGGGCCATGGAGAGGCCCAAGGTTTGATGCTTGGGGAGTACTGTGTAGAGCCTACAGGTATTGGGACCCTGGGGATCTTCAAATGGTACTATGCCAGAATCACAGAACCTCAGAATCACTATACTTCAGAATCACAGAACATCATTTCTTAGGTTCAAAGGATCTCAGAATCTCAAACCCACTCTATGGGGTTCAGGGGTCCAACCTCTCAATACGGGAAGGCCAATGTCAATGGTGTCCAAACTCACTAGAACTCCCTGAAGGACAGGAAGGTCACTACTTCATAGGGTCTCTGGCTTACCAGGCTTGGAATTGTAGCAAGTCTCCTCTTAGCCTCCCTCCTAAGTTCTGTGAAGGCAGGAGGGTCAGAATCATCTCCTCTCCTTCCCCCAGCCTGGGGCTGGGCTATGCCACTAACTAGCTATAACTCTCCTCAGGCTCATATGTAAAGTGGGACAGTAATAGTACCCCTCTTCTAAAGTTAATGCACATGAAATGCTTAACAAAATGTCAGCTCGGTAAATGAACACGTACAGGGCCTCAGTCTCCCTGTCCATTCTGGGATGATGTTCCCACACTCATAGCCATTCCATGAGGGATAGGGAAGGGGGCAGGGAGGTAGAGGCCAGCGTGCCTTCAGCTAGGGCCTGCCTCATGGCATGGAGCAGGAAAAGCCTCGGCCTTTGCCAGTAGAGAGCCCACTGCCAGGCTCTATGGAGGGGCTCCAGGATGGAAGTTACCAGGGGCCAGGGTCAACTCTCGGGACATGGCTAAGCTCTATTCATAGCTAGACACAGATACATTGACTGACTTATGTCCCTCTAGTATCACCACCCTCTGGCCAAAAGGCCTCTGAATCCATGGGACTATGGGACCCCACCCAGACTAGCTCTTGTGAGGCTGGGCCCTACACTGGCCCATGTGGCCACAGAGCCTCCTGCCTGAGTAAGGGCCCAAGTCATGAGAAGGCAGAAGGAGGAATGGCAGCAGCTGGCGGGCAGCTCAGGTCCCCCTCCTCCCCTCATGGGTGCTGAGAAGTAAACTGAGGCCCATGGTGGGGGCAGACAGAACCAGGGTCTCACTGAGAATCCCATGGTCTGAGCTTGGGTCTCAACTTTGCCTCTGCTTCTCTGTGAGGCCTTGGGAGAAGCCCTCCTGCCCATCTCTGGGCCTCAATTTGCCCCTTTGTACACTGGGTGGGGAGAGGCATGGAGTAGATGAGGGCCAGGGCCCTTCTACTTTGTGTCTGGGTGAGTTGTTCATCTGTCTGCAGGGCATCAAGTTGACAACTGCCCCTCTGTCCAGGGGACTGAGAGACAGGGATACATAGAGACAGAAACAGAAAGAGACAGACAGATAGACATAGGGGAACAGAAAGACCCAGAGAACAAGAGATACAGAGAGATGGGAGAAACATGAGGTGGGACAGAGATAAACAGAGAGTGTGAGATGCTGAGAGAAAGAGAGACAGAGTGACAGAGATGGGGGAGGGGAACTCATAGGAGCAGAAAGTCATAGAAGTACACACAAAAAGGGAGACAGAAAATGAGAGAAACAAAAAGGACAAGAGACAGAAACAACAGCACATAGAGATGGAGAGAGACAGACAGAGAGAGAGAGAGAGACAGAGACAGAGACAGAGACAGAGACAGAGAGGGATGCCCCAGATAAGAACAGTTACTGTTAGCTGGTTTTTGGCTGGAGGAACTGAGGCTGCATCAAATAACAAGGAATAAGGAAGGGCAAGATGCTGGGGACCTATGGCCAGGGAATATATTGTACTGCAAAGCAACAATCAGCAAATCAGGATGGCCCAGGTATAAGAACAGACACTGAGGAACAGAACAAAATGGGAAGCTCAATCACAGACCAATGTCTAGAGGGAATCGAGTTTGTGATGAATGTGGCATTTCAAACTGGGAGACAGGGGAGAATATATTGTTTAACAAGTGTTTCTGGGACAATTAAGGGGAAAATAAAGTTATTCAGTGAATAATCAGTCCATTTTCCCACCAATTCCTCTCTGCCCAGTTTGAAATGTCATGATCATGGACCCTGCAATAAAATCCAGATCTATTAAAGAGATAAACGATAATATCTAATGCTGCCTTTGGGTTTACTGAATGCCAGACTCTATGCTAAGCACTTAACATGGTTAAGATATTTAATCCTTATAACAACTCTTTGAGGTAGGTACTACTAGAATCATCACAGTACATATGAGGAAATGAAGGTACAGACAAGTTAAATGCCTAGCTAAAAATCACACAGATGACTTGGTGTGAGGGTGGGTTTGTCCCAGACAGTCTGGCTCCAGTACCCACACTCTTAACCTCCACAGCAAATGGAAAAAATGAAGCCATAAAAGAGACTAGAAGCCAACACAGGCGAACATTTATCTCATTTTCAAGGACTTTCTAAGCACAAAACCAGAGACAGTAACCACAGAAGAAAAGAGTAACCCATTTGACTATATAAAAACATCATAGCATCACAAAACTCCATAAACAAATATAAAAAGTGATAAATTGGGGGAAAATATTTGCTACATATGTATGGCTATTGGAAGGTTAATATCCTTTCTAAATAAAAAGCTGTGACAAATCAATAAGAAAAAAATGATGAACACTCTATTAGGACTAGGGATATGACCAGATGACTTAAGAAAAAGTACGAATGAGCAACAGTATAAGTAATCAAAGAATGCAAATTTCAACAATGTGGTAATATTTTTTCTTACCTGTTATGCTGAGAAAGTACTTAAAAATGATAATACCCACCCAGGGGCTAGCTCGAGTACAAGGAGCATAAAACAGGACAACCTTTTGGAAGAACAATTTGCAGAGAGGGTCGGAAACCTTAAAAACGCACACACGTCTTGCCCTGGCAACTCCATTTTCAGGAATCCAAGGAACTAATCAGGGATGATTCTGGGGAAAATCTAGAAATAACCTGAACGTCTAATAATTGGCACTTGGTCAATTCATGGTTCATACCAATGTGAGGACAGTCTTGACAGCCATGAAAGATCGTCTGTTGGAACAATTTTTAGTGATCTACAAAAATGCTCCTATTCTTTGAATAAAGCAGGAACAATACCAACAGAGAGAGTGGTTCTAACTTGGTTTAAAAAAAAATACTAACAGTGAAGAGTCAGCACTTGCTAAGCCTGCAGAGATGAGCTCGCCCCAGCCCTGAACGACTGCTTGGTTCCTGGACATGGACTCTGGACATACACACACACACACACACACACACACACACACACACACACACAGTCCTGGGGTAGGACCACAGAGCTAAATCACGGTTGCCAGTGACTCAAAGTGCCCCCCAGGAGGGTCTTTCATGCCATGCAAGCACAAGTTCAATGAAATGCTCAGCCTGACTTGACAGCTCACAACCCTCCTTCGATCGGGGCAAACAAAACTGATGCTCACTCTTGTAAAATGTAAATATCTTCATCAACGTTACTCAATACACTATTATTAAGCACCAACAGTCCAAAGCTCTGTGCTGGATGGTGGGTGGGAAGGCAGGTGGGGGAGGCTAGACAAGAGAGCAGGAGAGACAGTGGGAGATAGACGGACAGAGACAGGGAAGCTGGGCAGAGCCAGAGAAAGACAGAGTGGTGAAGAATCTGAGTACCTGGGAAAAAGACAGAAAGAGGGGCAGAGCAACATGGAAAGAGGGAGACAGGACCAGCAGACAGAGAGGGATGGGAGCTATCAGGAGTCAAGAGACAAAGAGGAGGGAGAGGTGTAGTTGAAATTTTCACTTACACCTGGGCAGTGTTTCAGGTTGTTCAAGGCTCGGGAATTCATAAAGACGGGCAGTTGGCATATTTTAAAAGTCCTGCCCATCTATATATCAGTTTATTTATCTTTGCCTCTGCCCACACATTGATTAAGTACTTTACCTATCAGTCTTCTGGCATTGATTATTACTATTATTATTGTCAAAAATATCTTACCTGACTGGAACCACAGTAGTTGTGTGCGTCTTGATGGTACCGGAGGGCCCCTGCCTGCACCGCGCCCCCCCCTCCCCCCGCCAGTGCCTACCTCTGTGCCATCTCTTTCACTGGACCCGCATCTGATGGGGGAGAGCAGGGACACTCACCTTCTTGAAGTGGACTCACAGAAAAGGATCAGCCAGGCTTGTGGGAAACTGTCGCATATCAAAAACAACTTTGCTTTTATACCGAGAAGAAAAACCACGGTGTGGAAGCCACAGACCTCTCTCTTCTAATAATCCAATTTTTTTTCGATGAGTATGTGTGCTGATAATCACAGGGTGGGGGGGGTTCTCATAGTTTTTTCTCTCTCTTGCTCTCTCTCTCTCTCACTCACTCTGTTTCTCCTCTTCTTGATTATGAGACTTAAACGGAAATTTTGAAATTTTGGGTTTTTTCTTTGCCCTTTACGAGTCATCTGAAAATATGATTTCTTCCCCTCACCACAGAGGTGAGAGGTATCAATGAGATAACAGGGCTCATGAGAAACCACAGTTTTTTAAACAAAAGTGTGTAGAGTTAGAAAAAAAAAAAACAAGGGAAAAAAACTCAAATAAATCACAGAGGCGTCCCAAGCAGGTAGAGACATCACTCTGTGTGTGTGATGGAACGGGAAACACCAGGGAAAGAAACTGAATAGGACTGGGTTTCCAGAAGCTTTGCTTTGCTCTATGCCTCAGTTTCTCCTTAGGGAGAATTGATACGGTCAGCACTGCTCTTACTGCCCAGGGAGGGGGAGCTCTGCATCCCGTCTTCCCACAGAGGGTGAGGGGCATGGAAGTTATTTCACGGAGAAAAATGCAGGGAGTCCGTCTCTACCCCCCACCACCACAATTCACAGAATCTAAGAATCTGAGAATCACTGGCTCCTAGAATCCACTTAGCATCGCTGAGTAAGGAAAGGGAGAAAAGTCTTGCCTCATCATGTCGTAGAGCCTGAGAACTCAGACTTGGAGGGTATCCTACAGGGAAGGTCCTGACAAGGCCCCTGGTGTTAATGCATCCATTCTCATGATGGCCAGAGGCCCCCTGGGACCCCAATCCCCTCATAGTCAGGGATATCATGACCTGATGCTTCTGAGGTCCTCAGCCTTTGCAATTTTCTACTTTGACAAATCCCAGCTTCCAAGGTTTTAGGATTCTAGATTACCGCCATCATCCCCATAGCTGACATTGATCTCCAGTTTTCCAGGTGCCAGACATAGTGCTGAATGATTCTCACAAATGATCACATTCAGTCCTCACTGCAGCCTGTTGCGGTCCATCTTGTCATCACAGCCATCCTACAGATGGGGAAAACGGAGGTGCCGAGTAGTTGAGCAACTTGCCCAAGATGACAGAGCTGGCAAGTGGGGGCTCTGCCTTCTTAAGGTGCCGGGCTTAAAAATCCCCAGGTTTCCTTGAGCCCAAAAGTCTTGGGTTTTAAATTCTAGGATGCAGTGACAGCGAAGTTCTGAGATTTGGAGATTCTTCTGTGGGCTTGAAGCTTGTGAGGTTTTATGGTTGTCCAAGTATTGGTAGCTGCATTTCCTTACTTCAGCAGTGACCCCCTCTAACCAATGGTTAACAGGGGAGACCAGGCCCCAGGGGCTTCTACTGATAGGCTGTGGCTGAGGATCCCAGCCCCCAGTTCCTCAGCGCCCTGCATGGCCCAGGGTTCTGTCATCCAATGTCTACTCCAACTCCTCTGCAAGACTGGCTTCGGGCCTGGGGAAGAGAAATTGGAAATGGCTTTTTATTCACATGATACAAACCCAGGGGCCAAGAACCACTCCTTCGCCCCTTCACCTTTTTTCTTCCCCTCACCACCTCCCAAGTCCTGAAAAAAAGGAGAGCCTCTTTCCTTAACTCAGACTCACCTTTCTGGAAAAGCCTAGAGGGGGCCTGATGGCCTGGCTTTGTGAAGATAAGAAAAAAAAAAAAAGGTGAATAGAAAAAAAAAAAGACCTAAAAAAAAATCAGCCAACAACAACAATTAAAAAAAATAAGAAACCAACCCTCCCTACCATTAGTTCAAAACAAGACTTTCACTGGTTGAGGCTTCTGAGTTGGTGGGACACATCTGAAGCCCAAAGATGGCCTGTGTGCGCAAGGCAGCCAGGGGAGGCACCAAAGTGGAATGAGGTTCTCAGATTGGAGGCCTGCAGGGACCTCATGTACGGCAGGGGCTTAACAGGTGTGGCATGTGGTTGTGAGCAAGAGGGTGTGAGGAGCTTGTTCATCAGGAAGGAGTCCTGGGGAGCTGACTTTAAGGATTTTACCAAAGCTAATGACCCCTTGCTCCTCATGGACTTGGGTCTCAACATTCTTTATACTCCCTGTATAACTAACTGTAAACTAGACCAGTTCTAGAGGTCAAGGCCTCATTCCTTGCCCCAGGACCTGTCCCCTCTTGAGAGAGGAGGCTGGTTTTCTTTTACAGGGTCAGAGGTGTGGGCTGCATCCTTCTTATACCCTCCCTAGGCCATCTCTCCCTTATTGTCACTCACTCCATGAGATGCGTGGCCAGAGAAGTAGGGGGATAGTTGAATGAGGATGGTGGCCTAGAGTACCAGGAGGCCACTTGAGTGGGGCCTGGTGTGTCGGTGGGGTGATGCTACTGCTGCAGAGAGCCAGGACCCTTGCAAAGTGAGGGATGGGGGGGTCAGCTGGGCAGAGAGGGGCAGGCAGAAGTCACCACCTCCTCTTTGTACTGGACTACATCCTCTTGTATGGAAGACTTTAAAAAAATTTTTTTTCAGAGAGAGTGAGTAAGTGAGCAGGGGAGAGGGGCAGAGGGAGAGAGAGAGAGAGGATCTTAAGCAGGCACACTCAGCACAGAGCCCAATGTGGAGCTCAATCCCACGACCCTGGGATTGTGACCTGAGCCTAAATCAAGAGTCAGACGCTCAACTGACTGAGCCACCCAGGTGCCCCCTGTGTGGAAGGCTTCTGGGGGAGAGTACACAGGATTACACAGGCACATCCATGAAAGTCCCCAGAGAAGGGGAGGCCTTTGACAAAGACTTGAAGGAGGTGAGGGATGGAGCCATGTAGACATCTAAGTGACTCCAGAGGAAACAGCCAGCTCAAAGGCCCTGAGGTGGGAGTGTGTGATTTTCTCGACGTCTAGGAAGGTGGTCAGTGTGGTTAGAGTGGTGTGAGCAAGAGGAAGATGGGTTGGAGGTGAGGTCAGAGAGGGGACTTCGGGGTTAGACCATGCAGGACCTTGTAGCTCGTGGTAAGGACTTTGGCTTTTACTCTGAGTAAGGAGGAAGCCACAGGAGGGTTGTGAGTACAGGAGAGACATGAACTGCTTTAGGATTTAACAGGATCTCTGACTGCTGAGTGTAGAACAGACTGTAGGAGTGAAGGTGGAAGCAGAGGCACCAGAGACGAGGAGACTACTGTAATAGTCCAGTGACTGATGATGGTGCTGGCAGTGGAGAGGGTGGATCTGGGAAATATTTTGAATGGAGGGCTGACAGAATTTGTTGAAGGGCAAGAGTCCTGGGGTCAGTCTAGGACACAGATAATACCCTAACAAGAAGTCAGGAAAAAAAATTCTATCTTGTGTAAGCCCCTATTCTTTTGTGATTGTTTTCCTTTACTTGCGACTGAACATATTCCTTCCTGATCCATGACCTCACCGTGGACACTGAGACTTGAGAAAGGGAGGTGACTGGGGGGTAACCTTCTCCTTCCTAGGGATGCTGTAAGTCAAAACCTTGCATACAGTAGGTGTTCAGAAAACCCTCCCAGGATGGAGGGGGAAAGTATGAATGGCCATGCTCAGTGGGCAAAAGCTACATTTCAGTTTAAGGCAGGACCTTAAAGGGAGAGAGAAAGGATGAGGAAGCAGAAGGAGCAGTGCTTGTGGAAGAGGGAAGAGCAGAGCAGAGATGGGGGACAGAAAGAGGGAAGTGAGGCCACTTTGGGGTGTGGAGTGCGAGACAAGAAAGACGGGACTTTGGTTTGTGATTACATTAGTTGATGTCTGCTAACATGTCCAACAACCAACTCCTGGTGGCATGCAGTCAGGCTCAGTGTTTTGCTGATCTCAAGTTAGAAAAAGCTCATTTTCCAGAAAAGGTCAACTTCTCATTTGGCCATTCATTCAACAATGGTGCCAAGTCCTGGAGAATGCTGAGGGTGACAATCAAGGACATTCTTGGCTAGTGGCACTGCTCAAACAAAGGTTTATGGTGGGCAGGGAAGACCCAGTAACTGTGACAGCCGAGTCCGTTTTGCTTTCTTAAACCTCACACTACGGAGCAGTCTAGGGGATTCATAGCCCTGGGGCAATGAGAAGTCACGAAGGGCTAAGGAGAAGGTAAATCCAACCACAAGACGAACACTCTCCCTAACGGCTGCGTGCATTCTACGGATCTGTGGCCCAAGCACCCTACAGCCCAGACCGTCTACGCACCGTCCCCTCGTCTGGCCTCCTTATTATTGGCTGTTCATCCCCCTCCTTCACACAACCTACAATATCCCGGTTGGCTCTGCTCTTTCTCGTCCCGCTTCCGAGTCCTGCGGTCCAGCTACGCTTTCTAGCCTTGGCATTGGTTTATTTCATGCTAGCACCGCCCTTTGAGGCCTTAACTGCCTTCAGTCTGGCTCTCTCATTGGCTATCCGCCATCAATATCTTCCTGGCTCCCGCCTCCATGGTCCACTTCCATTGGGCCTGCCTCTCCAGTCCCGCCTCCGAGGCCGCTCTAACACCGCCCCTTGGTCTCTTTCTAGCCTTTGCATTAGCTAGTTCAGCCCTGTCATCGCCTCCTGAAGGTATAGTGCAAGCTCACAAGACTCCCCATTGGCTCGCTGTAGCTATTATCTTATCGTCATCTCCTTTACGCAACAGGCGCATGGCTCCCCATTGGCTATTTGCAGTTTCTGTCTTCGCGTCCCATCGCCTACGCAACTAAGGGATTTCCTACTTTTCGGGCCTCTCCATTCGCTCCCCATTGCCCCCATCGCCTGTAATCATTCCATTTTCCCCGTCGCCCACATGCCGCTCCCGCTCCCACTCCCCCACTACCTCTCCTACTTTTGCTCTTTTCATCCCGGGCCTCGCACCACACCTATTTAGCGTCCCCCTCCATTGATTCCCCGGCCATCCCGCCTCCTGCACCGCCCACTCTCGGGCATTCTCATTGGCTGCGTGCTTC